AATGTGGTCGTTGTGGGCCCTCGACTCTGTCCTCTTTTACAATCCGGTTGTGTGAGGGGTGAGATGAATTGTTGCTAGTTCAAGTATCCGTGCAAAGGGTCTAGAACTTGCCCCGAATGTGTTTTAAGGTGAAATCCTAAGTTTTGCTTGTTTTGAGAAGTGATGGTAGGCTCTCCTTTGCCCGTTTGAGTTCTCTATTTCCAACCAATGTCATTATCCCTAGTCAACCCCTTTGAGCCTCTATCCTTTCTCATTTGATAACCATGTTACAAGCCTTTACCTGTTTTATCGTGACCCTCTCTTGGCACCCGAGATTTCCTTAACACTCTTGTGAAATAGATGGCTTAAAATGTAAGTTTGAGGGAGAGATGAGGAACTTGAAAAGGTATCAAGGCACAAAAATTGAAAAGAAATGATCTCTATGAGAAGAAAAGGCAAGAAAAGAAAAGAACAAAAAGAAAGATGCAAAAAGTTAATAAGTGGAAGGGTTGAAGGGATTCAAAAAGAAGTAATGATCCCAAACATAGAGAAATCAAAAAGGGATAAAAAGAATGAAATGACCAAGAAAGAGTGATGCTAAGTCTCTCTAGTCCCCAATGAAAAGAAAGTGCCTCTAAGAATTGGCAAAGTGTGAGCCGAGAAATGAAAGACGGAGTGCTTAGGGAAAGGTATAACTACTTACCCATACGGTATCCTATCTTAACCCAAAAGCCTTCATTACATCCTGAAAGAATTCCTACTTGATTTCAAACTGAGTGAGCTTACATTAGTAGCGACCTACATGAGGGGAAAGCCTATGGTACTTGCAGCCGTACTTGTGACATTCTCTTTAGAGATGAGTGAACCTTTCATAAATCTTTGGATTGAGTGCTAATTCTTTTACGTGAGCTAGGCAAATGGAAAGTAGAGGAGGAAGAGTTTGGAGTCCACCATGACCTACATGATAGAGCAAGAGTCCTTGATGAGTAAAGTCAATTCTTGAAGCTGAATTGTCACATTAGAACTATATGTGCATGAATGTTTAACTTGTCGACTTGTTGATAATACATAAGTAGTGTAGGTAATTGTTGGTCCCAACTGATGTGTGGATGGCTCACCTTTGACTCGCTGAAATGACCCTTAACTTTTGAAGATGGGAACTAATTTATTTGCTTGAGGACAAGCAAAGACTTAAGTTTGGGGGAGTTGATAAGTGGGGATTTTGACTGCTTATTAGCACCTTTTAGCTTTTATTTTAGTTCGAAAGTATTGAATTATGTTCCCGAAACTAATGAAATTGTGCAAATTGTAGCAATATTGGAAGTGTGGTCTCCCGAGATGAAATCCGACTCAAAAAGGAGTGTTCCGAAGCACAAGGCAATAAAGGATGTAGAAGCACAAATGTGCAGTCTGCAGAATTCCATCTGCGGCTGCAAACCAAGAAGAAATATTTAACAACACTTCCAGCAATGTGCGGACCGCACATGAATTGTGCGGCCGCAGAACTGGGCTTAAGAGTCAAAGATCAAAGAGTATGCAAAAAGACCAAGTCCAGGAGCCTTTGTGAAGTGCGGACCGCACAAGAATTGTGCGGCCACAGAAGATTGCCTCGCGGCCAAAGTCCAGAAATGTGCGGCCGCAGAAGATTGCCTCGCGGCTGAAGTCCAGAAATGGGCAGCCGCGGAACTCACCTTCCTATCAACTGAAGAAATCTACAAACTGCACGTGGAATTGTGCAACCGCAGAACCTCCCGAGGGGCATTTTTGTCTGCAATTTTCAGCCATGTATAAATAGACAAGTTTCACGAAATTAGGTCAAGTTTGACATACAAAGCTGTTATAGTTGTTTCTCTTTGCTATTTTAGGAAGTTTTAGCTTATTTGAGTATTTTAACATTAGATTTCATCATTTTAATCTTCCATTATGAGTTTAATTAGCTTTTCATCTTTATTTTCTTCAAATCCCATTATGAGTAGCTAGATTTTTACTAGGGTTGTGACCCAACCCCTAGTGGCTAAACCTTATGGGTGATTAATTTTATGCTTGTTTATGATTGGGTGTTGACTATTTAGCTTAGTTCATGCTTTAATTTTAGAAATAATAGTTGCAAATACTGATTCATGCCTATTTGACTTAGTCTCTACTTGAGAAAGAGGGACCTAGTCTAGGATAACTTAGCTAACAAGGAATTGGGTTAATTGAGAGATTGCTTAACCTAATTAAAGGGTTCAAACTAGAGACAGTAAGAACCCGACTTGAGCTCTTATCAATTGTTTTGGTTGATACCCATTTGAAATTGAGAAAGCCAAATTGGGCAAAATCACTCTCTGACAGAGAGGTATTGAGTGGGTAACATGGAGTTGAGAGCTATAATACACCCTAATCAACAAAATAAGTATAAACATCTTTATCTCATTAGGCAAACACCTAGGTTATGGTCACAACCCTAGGCCTTTAATCCAATTGGAAAAACGTCCAAAACATTCATCTATAATCTATTTTCATTAGCTTGCATTCATTAGAGTAACAGTAGAAATAGAAAACAAAACCTTGTTGTGGAAGTGCAATCTTAGATAACACATTTCCTTGCTTTAAATATATACTCCTAACACCTCTCATAAATCCCACTGGATTCGACCCCGACTCATAGTTGGGTAATTATTATTGCATACGACTGTATCTTATCTCCTATAGAGGTGTGTTTTGGACGTCATCAGGCACTAAAGTCCAAATTGGACAAAACTTCTGCTGATGCCGAGGAAATGGTGGCCCAATACAAGGCCGATGTGGAGGCCGCCGAGACCCGCCTAAAGACAAAAGACTGAATACATGAAGCGGTTATCCTGAAGAGAGACCCTCGAAGAGATCCATGCCCGAGCCTTCGACTTATCGGTCGAGATCGAAGAAGCTAAGAAGCTTGAGGTCGAGGCAAAGGAGCTTTACGAGCCTGAGGGTGCCAAAGGCTTCGAGGGTTCCGAGGGATCTAAGGGCTCTGATGGTTCTGGCGACGAGTCGGGCCCCGGTGAAGACCAGGCGTAGATGCCTTGGTACTTTTTCAATTTTTTTTTTCCTTATGTATTTTTTTTGTTTATTTTGAGGCCGTTTTATTGGGCCTTTGTAAATATATTTTGGAATATATATATATATATATATATATATATATATATATATATATATATATAATTTTTCCTTTCTGGCAATATCGTGTCTTTACTTTTCTAGCATCTTTCATTCGTGTATTGTCTTTGGTGCCTTAGCATAGAATCAGATGTAGTTCTGGGGCATTCGATTTTTGGAAGTTTGAATGAAGCCCGACTACGATGCAACTTTGTTTGCTCGTGGCTTTGGATTCTCAATGAGACCGTAGGTTCCCAAGATGCTTAAGTGTTTTTAGACAATATTTTTGCCTAGGGTAACCCTTTAGTAGGTTTCGAATTTTTTTTGTAAAGGCCTTACTTTTTGGTTACGGGCTTTAGATGTCTCAGATCCATTTTTAAGGTGGCCGTAACCTTTTGCATTTGGGAAATGGCTAATAAGTTTGGTGCCTCCGGGATTCGGTAGCCCGGGTCATCCAAATTTTCTTTGCGCGATAGTCCCCGAGTAGGGGTAGCCCTTGGGCTTGATAGTCCCCGAGTAGGGGTAGCTCGTGGGATCTAGGATCTAGAATTGAAGAAGCAAAAAATGTGAAATAACAAAACGGAACTTTATTTCATTTCTCAGTATGTAAAGTACATGATCGAAAACGTATAAAAACTTATGTCATGGCTAGAGTGGACTATGTGATCATGGTTCATACGACCGTTTGGCCCTTACAATGAATCCTAACCACCAAGACTTAGCTCTTATCATACAAAATTTTCTTTTTTCCTTGCTAAAAACCTTAATTCGAGGGTAATGTCCCCCAGAATTCGAGGTCGAACTCGTGAGGGCTCGGATACTGTTGATATGAAGTGAATGATCATTGACTTCGGTTTGAAACCAGTCTTCGAATCTAAGTCAGCACGTTTTACTATTGCCTCTTTAAAAACCTTGCCAAAAAAATACAGTTTGGGTCAAAACTTTTTCAAGGGAAAAAGAGTGCAATGTGTGCTTTCATCATTGGTCGTTTACCTGCAAATGTTAGTCCAATTTATAACATGATTAAAGAGTAATTGAGTTCGTAACGTAGCAGTAGTATCGCTTTAAGTGTGCCACATTCCAATTGTTCGGTAGTTGTACGTTGTTTCCCGCTTCGAGTTTGTATGAGCCTTTTCCGGTTATTCCGACAGCTCGATATGGCCATTCCCAGTTCGGTCCCATCTTCCCCTCGTTCGGTTTCCTGGTGTATAATGTTACATTCCTCAACACCAAGTCCCTAACTTGAAAGTGTCGGAGGCTAGCTCTTCGGTTGTAATACCTTTCTATTCGTTGTTTCTGGTTGGCTAACCGGACCAGGGTGGCCTCCCACATTTCATCCAATAGTTCCAGGCTCGTGATCATGGCCTTGTCGTTTGGCTCTTCTATCGCATATTGGAACCTGAGGCTTGGTTCTCCCACCTCGACTGGTATTAAGGCTTCAGCTCCGTACACCAATGAAAATGGGGTGGCCCTGGTGCTAGATTTTGAAGTCGTACGGTATGCCCATAGAACTTCGAGCGAGATCTCCTTCCATTTACCTTTTGCACCGGTCAACCTCTTTTTTAGGTTTTGAAGTATGGTCTTGTTTGTTGATTCTGCCTGCTCGTTCCCACTAGGGTAATAAGGTGTTGATCGTATCTTTTTTATCTTGTGATCTTCGAAAAATTTACTTACCTTGCTACTAATGAATTGTTTTCCACTATCGCAAACGACCTCGGTCGGTATCCCAAATTGAAATATTATGTGATCCCAATGAAGTCAATGACTTCTTTCTCCCGGACCTTTTCAAATGTCTGTGCCTCGACCCATTTGGAAAAATAATCGACTGTAAATAGTATGAATTGAGCTTTACCGGGTGCCCATGGTAGGGGACCAACAATATCCATTCCCCACTTTATAATTGGTCACGGTGACAAAACCGAGTGGAGCATTTCTCCCAGTTGATGGATCATCGAGGCATATCTTTGACAGTCATCGCACCTCCATATGAAATCCTTCCCATATTTGTCCATCTCGATCCAGTAATAGCCGGCCCTAATCAGTTTCCGAACCAAAGATCCTGCCCCCGAATGTTTCCCGCAAGTGCCTTCGTGAACTTCTCTCAAGGCGTATTCGGTCTCTCCCGGTCCCAAGCATCTGGCTAGTGGGCCGTCGAAGGTTCTCCTGACCAATGCCCCTTCGGCCAAGCTAAATCCGGTAGCCTTTACAAACGGCTCTCGATTCTTTGGGATCTAAGGGTAATTTTCCAGTCTTCAAGTAGTCTATGTACTTGTTCCTCCAATCCCAAGTTAAACTCGTTGAGTTTACTTCGGCGTGGCCTTCTTCTATCACCGACTTCATGAGCTGCACTATTGTTGCTGAACTGAACTCATCAGAATCGACAGATAATACCAAGGTAGCCGGAGCATCTCCCTCACTGTTATGATCTCGGGGTACGTGCTGCAGGGTCCATTCCCTAAATTGATGCAGCGTTACTTGTAATTATTTACAAGTACCTTTGTATCCGTTCTTCTTTTACTTCCAACATCCCGTTAACTTGGTTTACCACAAGGAGGGAGTCATACTTGGCTTCGATCACCTCGGCTCCAAGGCTTTTAGCCAATTCTAGACCTGCAATCATGGCCTCATACTCGGCCTCATTGTAAGTCAATTTTACAGTTCTAATAAATTGCCTAATTACATTTGCCAACCGATCGAGAGCTCGGGTTTGTGCATGATGTTCCTCAGTGGGTAAGAAGTTACAACACATATGTTGTGGCATTGAAAGTATGGCTTTAGCATTCTGGAGGAGCTTAGCAAAGTGAGCGCAAATGTTTCCAGGTGAGAATACTTAGTTTCGGCCTCGCTTAGAGTCCTACTGACATAGTAAATAGGAAACTGTGTACCTTCTTCCTCCTGAACTAAGAATCCACTTACCACCACCTCGAAAACTGCCAAGTACAGGTACAATTGTTCGTCCGCCTTCAGAGTGTGCAGCAGGGGTGGACTCGATAGGTACCATTTGAGTTCTTCCAAAGCTTGCTGGCATTCTGGGGTCCAGGAAAAGTTATTCTTCTTCTTTAAAAGTGAGAAGAATCGATGGCTTTTGTCTGAGGACCTCGATATGAACCGGCCCAGGGTGGTTATACGCCCGTTCAGCCTTTGAACGGCCTTGACATTGTCCACCACAGTGATGTCCTCTATGGATTTGATTTTGTCGGGATTGATCTCGATCCCTCGATTGGATACCATGAACCCGAGGAATTTTCTCGATCCGACCCCGAATGTGCACTTCTCTGGGTTCAGCTTCATATTATATTTCGTCAGTATGCCAAAGGTTTCCAGCAAGTGTTTCAAATAGTCCTCTGCTCGTAGGGACTTGACTAACATGTGGTCAATATAAACTTCCATGCATTTTCCTATCTGTTCTTCGAACATCCGGTTTACTAGGCGTTGATAGGTGGCACCAGCGTTCTTTAATCTGAATGGCATTACATTTTAATAGCAGGTGCCGATGTTAGTGATAAAAGATGTCTTTTCTTGATCGTCCGGGTCCATCCGAATTTGGTTGTACCCGAAATAGGCATCGAGAAAGCTAAGTATCTCATGCTCGGCCGTCACGTCGATCATTCGATCAATGGTAGGAAAATAAAAAGAATCCTTGGGGCATGCCTTGTTTAGATTTTTGTAATCTACACACATTTTTAGCTTATTCACTTTTTTAGGCACTACCACTCGTTAGCTAACCAGTCCGGGTATGTAACTTCCCTAATGGACCCTATTTTAAGGAGTTTGGATACCTCATCCTTAATGAATGCATTCTTGACCTAGGACTATGGTCTCCTCTTCTGCTTAACTAGATGGAACTTCGGGTCCAAACTCAGCTTATGAGTGGTTACTTCGGTGGGATCCCTGTAATGTCAAGATGGGACCAAGCGAAATAATCTATGTTAGCTTTAAGAAAATTAATGAGTTTTTTCTTGAGCTCGGGAGTTAACCCTGTGCCCAGGTATACCTTTCGATCAGGTAGGTGTTCGATCAATATGACTTGCTCCAACTCCTCGACCATCGATTTGGTGGCGTCGGTATCATCAGGAGCTATGAACGATCTCGAAACTTTGTAATCATCCTCCTTGTCTACTCCCCGTTCCTCCAGTTTGGTCAAGACCGACATAAGTGATTGCTATTTAATTTCTTCCTTTCGAGTTGGTTGCGTGTTCCTTGAAGTTGAAATTGCGTACACCGGGATTACCTCATTGACTGCGAATATTTCCTTTGCGGTCGGCTGCTCTTCGTAGACCGTCTTTACTCCTCCTGGCGTAGGGAACTTCAACTCCTGGTGTAAGGTTGAGGGTACTGCCCTCATGTTGTGAACCCACGGCCTTTCGAATCGGTCATTGTACCTTATGTCCCCTTCGATCAAGTAGAACTTTGTCTCTTGGATTGTCCCGACAGTGTTGACCGACAGGGTTATCTCCCCTTTATTGGTTTTTCATGCCATGTTAAATCCGTTCAACAGCCGGACCGCCAGCACTATTTGGTCCTGTAACCCCAACTGCTCTACGACCCTCAATCTCATGATGTTGGCCGAGCTACCTGGATCAATCAACATACGTTTAACTCGAGATTTATTGATAAGCACGGATATTACCAATGCATCATTGTGTGGTTTCACGATGCCCTCGACATCTTCTTCACTGAATGAAATGATTCCCTTCGGGATATAATCTCGGATGCATTTTATCCTTGTGATAGATACTTTAGTGCGCTTTACCATTGGCCCTTTCAAAATATAACAAAATTTTGAAGAAACTCTTTTAAGAATATTTCCCGCACTTCTTCAGTAAATTTTCCTACTTTATTATGTTGATTCCTCTCTCTGTATATTTTATGTTAGAAGGAAGGCAAAAGCTAACTGGTGCTTTGCTTAGGGATGGGAGCCGCTCCTTCTTTTCCGAGTTTCTCCTTGAGTGACATCGAACCCTCCAATGTTCATGTTGATGACGTGCTGAGGCTCCTCTTGTTCGGCTATTTGCTGGCACCTCTGTTCCTGAAGTGGGTTTTGACCCGATCAGTCAGAAATTCTCGGAGGTGCCCATTATTGAACAATCGGGTAACTTCTTCTCTCAATTGTCGGCAATCTTCGGTCATGTGGCCATGAGTGCCGTGATACTTGCACATCAAGTTAGGATCTCTTTGGGTAGGGTCGGATTGTAATGGTCGGGGCCACTTGGTCTCCTTGATGCGCCCGGTGGCTGAAACGATGCTGGCAGCATCAACGTTGAAGTTATACTCTGATAATCTTGGTGTTTCCCTACCCCCGAGCGGCCTGTCGAAACCATTTTTGCTCATCAGACCTCGGCTACTGGGCCCTACATACATCGCCTCTCTTTTTGTTCCTCGTGGGCTGACTCCCTGACCCATTTCCCCTTCGATCTGTGTTATATGGTTGGTATCGATCCCGGACCTGCCTTGGCTCATGATCGACAGCTCTCTTGGACCTGTCGTCGACCCTGATGTGATAAACAGACCCAGAAGGGGCTCTGAATTGGTCATCCTTGACTCTGATCTTTGACTGGTACCTGTTGTGGATGTCGGCCCAAGTTACTATCTGGTACTCTACCAAATTTTGTTTTAGTTGCTTTGAAGCCAAGGAGCTTCGGGAGTTAATTCCTTGAGTAAATGCCTGAACGGACCAATCATCCGTGACATGAGGCAGGTCCATCTGTTCCATTTGGAACCTCGACACAAACTCCTTGAGTATCTCGTTGTCTCTTTATTTAACCTTGAAAAGGTCTGAATTTCTGGTCTCGACCTTGATGGCCCAGCATGGGCCTTCACGAATGCATCTGCAAGCATAGCAAATGAGTCAATAGAATTTAAGGGTAAGTTGTGATACCATATCATTGCTCCTTTGGACAAAGTATCCCCAAACTTCTTCAGTAACATCGACTCAATTTCTTCATCTTCCAAGTCATTCCCTTTGATTGCATATGTATAGGAGGTCACATGCTCATTCGGATCCATGGTTCTGTTATATTTTGGGATGTCGGGTATACGAAACCTCTTAGGGATCAGCATTGGTGTCGCATTCGGAGGAAAAGGCTTCTGGATAAACTTCTTGGAATCCGGCCCCTTCAATATCGGAGGTGCTCCCGGGATTTGGTCGACCCTGGAATTGTATGTTTCCACCTTCTTGTCATTGGCCTCAATTGTTTTTCCACCTGATTCCACCCGCTTCATTAATTCTTCAAGCATTATTTCGGGATTGTCCCCGGACTCAGCTTCACCCGGTCTCTCGGTGATCTACTCATTACTTCGGATGTTCTCCCAGGACGGTTCGGGCTTAACTCTGCTGGGGGCGTGGCTTTGATTCTGCAGCTGCGCTATCACCGCCTGTTGAGCCTGCAATATTTCAAAAAATTAACCGTAGGCTAACCTCATCGCCTTCACCTTCGGGCGCTTCTCGAGCCGTTAGTGGGGTCTCCCGCGAATGTTATTTTCGAGATCAGTTGGCAGGTTGACATCGATGGCCACCTGTGAATTAGCATCAACCGGATTGGCAACTGGGACTCCGTTGGGATCAGCTGGAGGTACCTTGTTGCTAGGCACCAGATTGTTGTTTTCACCATGATGGCCAGACGCAACGTCAACGTTCAAGTGGGCAGACTAAGAATTTGACATTTTTAAACTGACTTGAAATTAATACTTTAAAGAACAAGCATAAAATAGAGTGTGTTTTGGAGATTTATATCAAATCACCACTATTATCCTTAGCCCCACGGTGGGCGCCAAACTGTTTACCCTTAAAATGGATAACAATTAAATTTATACGTGATTTTAAGGATATGTGGATTGATTCAATAAAAATAATCAAGAATATCAGATAAACAAGTTAAAGACAAAATGAATAATCAAACTAATTGTAATGTTACGGCCCAACTCGAACTTAGGTAGAACAGTAGTTTTGCCCTCGATCGGACCCTTGGTTCGATGCTAATTGTGAATGAAAAACAACAATGAAGTAAGAACTTTGCAATAGCTAGAAAGCATAAAAATGAATTTGTATTGCCTTGGTTTGCGTGTTACAATATATCTTATCAAAGAAAAACTTCCCCTTTATATAGTAGGAGAGTTTCATCCCTAGTACAAGTCTAAAAAAGGTAAAAATCCTTCTCTCTCGTTAATTACTGATATGTAACCTTCATTGAGCGAGATCCATGCCGTGATATCCGGTTGGTTGCGGACATCACAGCCCTCTATATGTTGTCTATAACTGTTCATTATGCTTTCCCAAGTCTCAAAAATCGTCCCGAGTTCGGGGTGCGTCATTTTATCGGGTCCAATGGCGAGCACTCGGTTCACTTCTCACGGGCCTCGATACAAAGAGTTCCCAACTTCAATTTCGATCTCATATATTTATGCTCTTACTTCGTTCGATTCACCGAAAAATCGGGGTGTGCGTTATCCCCGATTTCACCCGTATACACACTCAAACTAGAACCTCCTAACTTATTATGTAGTGCTGAAGATGTTCAACCACTAAACAATTCTTACTTATCAAATATGTACTATTAAATATGAACTTATCAAACTAACATAAAGTAGACAACACATAAATCAGAAGGAAAAACATATAACACATAGGGCTCGTTTGGTTTAAAGACGGGTTACGTTGGGATAAGTTATGCTGGAACTAGTTATACTGGAATTAGTTATGATGGTATTATTTCTTATTCAGGTATTATTTCTTATTCATTATTTGATATGTTATTTGAAAAATAGCATGCATTGTATACTTTCTAAGAAGAAGTTGTTTGTTTATAAAAGTACCCTCCACCTTATTTAGCCTAAAATGACTAAATTTCCTCCTCTTCTTGCTCCTTTATCCATTTGAAATACGTCAATTTATTAAAATAAGTTTTCTGAGGCTCTAGTTTTCAGTTCTTTTAAATATATCCGCTGATTTCTTTCTTGTTTTTTTCTTTTTCATGATACATTTTCCTTATCTTTTTGTCAATT